TCATCGTAGTAATTATTATGGAACAATGATAGTTATCTGGATGATATGGGATATGCTAAATCTAAATTGGTAACTGGATGTTATTGGTTAATCAAGTGATTGTTGTAGTACAGGTGCTTACCTAGATGGATATGTTATAATAAAGATGATGCAAAGTACTTAAAATGGTTTATTCATGATAACTTATGCTTTTCGCAAATGAGTCAACTAGCCCACTAAAGAAAGCCTTGCATAATCCTTGGTGTCGCTTTATTTTGGTTTAAGACGGGTAAGTCTAGCTGAGTACATTTGAGTACTCAGGGTTTATCCCACCATGTTGCAGGTGAAGTTCTTGGCTTACGGAAGATGGTGGCGAACCGCCGGTGGGCTCGGTGATTCTATATTTACTTCTCATCTATATGCTTTTGTCTGAGGATGTCACTTATGCTAGCAATGTATTTGGAACTTATATTAATGTAATCATTTGAAAGCTATGTTGTTTTCAATAATTGGTTTTGAAACCCAAACTTGTACTATTATTTGTGAACCCATTTATAACATTATTTCTGCTGCAACTCTGCGTATGTGATGTGTATTTGCTTAATCACGCGATCTTGGTTGTGATGTTGATTTACCGAGGTCTTTCGAGACACTCGGCGGACTACCGGGTTTATATAAGTGAAAGTATGCACGTGTCAACGTGTTAGCGGGGGCAACCGTACTTGATCTTGTATAAATTGGGCGGTTCTGTCACAATCTCTTCTTCAAGCTCATCATTCTTTTCGACTATCTTCATGATGATGAACTTGTCTTTGTGGTTGAGATGATCAAGGTTGTAGTTGTCTTCAACTTCAACATCACTCTGATCTTGATCTTGCACTTGTGCCTTCTCCTTTTCTTGATCTTTCTCGTTACTCTTCTTCTTGCTTTTCTTGGCCATGAGACACAAGTGATGAGTATCATGAGATACTAAGATTGACTCATCACTTGGTCGCCACCGGGCTTGAGCATCGCTGCAAACAGCTGTTTGCTGCTCTGCTGCCTCGGCCATACTAGACACGTCCGGTATGTGCAGGCAGACAGCAAGTCATGCGCTGCTTGCACTTCTTGCTCCGGCTCGGCGCTCTTGAGGTCTTGTGAGGCTTCTTCGCTGTATAAAGACACAATGGACATACTTTTCATTGTCTCGATCTCAAGTGCATCATCACATTTGGATTTTCCATATAAATCAAAAAGTCTAGTCCAAATGAGATGAGCACTCTCCAGAGGTGGTTGTCTATTGAAGATTGCTTCATCTTGAACCTCTACACTTAATGTACTCAAAATGACATTAATAGCTTGAGCATTGAGTTGCACACATATCTCTTCCTCTTTTGACAAATTTTTGTAGTTGCTCCAATCAACTATAGGAAGAGGTATGCTTGCATCCACAATATGCTCAACAAGAGGACTAATATCCCTAAAAGCATTGAGTACATTAATTGACCAAGATAGAAAGTTTGAACCATCATTTTGGAGAAGCACCGGCTCCAACTCGATAGGCGTCGACATCCTTTTCTCACGGCGGTGAAGCTTTAGGTGAGAACCTCGCTCTGATACCAATTGAAAGGACCTAGGATGCCGCCTAGAGGGGGGTGAATAGGCGTTTCTGCAAATTAACACCTTTAAATGCGGAAACGATTAGTAAAGGGAGTTTCCAAAATGGAAACTCCAAATAAAAGTAATACCACCCCTCACAAGTTAGCCACCTAGTATACAAGGTATAAAAGAATGTATCTAGAAGCTACAACCCTGCAACACAAAGTTAGAACTGCGAATAAATATTTTTAGCACAGGGCTCTAATATCGGACGTGTTCGGTATGCACGGTTTCTGCAGAACAGCCCCGAACTTGCTGCTTTCTATTTCTATCTTTAAACCAAACTGCAGGTACCTACTAGAGATATAAATATACACAGAGAACCTGCACAAGAGCTGGAGCAACACAAATATCAAATGAAATGCGAATTGAGACACGATATTTGTTTTACCGAAGTTCGGACTCGTTCGAGTCCTACTCTCCGTTGAGGGGGTTGCAGGCGACCCAACGAAGGTCAGCCCTAGAGGGTACCACGAAGGTCACTCTAGCCGGAGTCTTTTCCAACTCCTTTTCCTGCTTCCACTAATTGATTCTGAGGCGGCGGAATCGACCGTTATAAACTTTCCGAGGCACACCACAATCTCTCGGGTGCTCTCCGGCGACGCCTAACCGTCTAGGACCGAAGAGTCCAAGAGTAACAAATGTGAATCACGAGATTGACAATATGCACAAGTGCTCAAATGGTTGGATTTGCTCTCTTTTTGAATTTCACTCAACTCACAATTTAATTTGGTAAATTTGATCAATCACTCACTAAGAGAGGGTTGGGAGAGTTAGCAAGGCTCAAAAACGTGTGTGTGTATCAGCAGAATCAGCAACCTCCAAAGGTGGAGGCTTGGGGGTATTTATAGCCCCCTTTGGAAAACTAGCCATTTTATAGCCGTTGCAATACCGGACACGTCCGGTATGCATACCGGGCACGTCCGGTACGACTTACACTGCGCCAACAGTAACTAAGTTATAGTGAAGTTGTGAGGCATCAGAACTCCTGATGAATGTCGGGATTTTCGACCGTCGGAACTCCCGACTTACGTTGGAACTCCCGATCCTCAGCACATTTGAAAACGTCGTAACTGAGTTAAAGTGTGTGAGGTGTCGGAACTCCCGATGTATGTCGGAACTTCTGACCGTCAGAACTCCCGACCTATGTCGGAACTCCCGACCCTCACGGCATTTGAAAACTAGCCGTTGGCCTCTGGTCGTCCATACCGGACATGTCCGGTATGACCACCACAGTGAATACTCTATTTCAGTTAAATTGCGAGACGTCGGAACTCCTGACCATTGCCGGAACTTCCGATCGTCGGAACTCCCGACGAATCAACCCGAGGACAAAGGTTTTACAGCTGCTGGACAAATACCGGACACGTCCGGTATTGCCAGACCAGCAAGAAAACAGTTAGCACTTTTGTCTCTCAAACACTCAAAACTCACATGGGTTGGCTTGAGCACTTATGAAACATTATCTATCAACATGATGCATCCCTCTTAATAGTACGGCATTCCTATTAACTCAAATTTAAAAGTATAACGAAATTAAACCTTTTGAGTTGATCTCTTTGAACCGAAGCCGTGCTTTCCAATCTTCATCAAGTGAGGGTGCCAATCATATTGATATTGATCTTTTCATTTGAGCATAGCCATCTTGAGCACGTGACTTGATTCCATTCATCAAATATGAATAACTCCAAATGCATCAAGTCACTTCCAACACTTTGTCCAATATAGGTTTGATCCTCCACATCAATATGACCGTCGCAGCTTGATTAGTACCTCAACTAAATGCAAGTACTTCCTTCTTCACCCTAGCAAGGTTCTTCGGCCGCCAAGCCGTCGCTTGCCCTTCACCCTTGCTTAGTACCTCGAAGCCTTTCCTTGCTATCTTCACCATCTCAAGCCATCAAGTCATATCTTGTGTTGAATCATCCATTCATTTGTATTGTTGTCTTTTTTATTTTAATTTAGCAAGCTTCAGATATGAGACCATTCCATATGCAATTCCTCATGTCTCATTAATTAATACTTAAGAGCTTGCTTTCACATAGCACATAGAAATCCCACAATAAATAAGCCTTTGTATGAATTCCATTTGCATTGTTGTCTTGTGCTTGAACTAGATTGTTTATACAACAACACATCATTTTGGCTTTCGTTAAGTACCTGTGAGATAACCTATTACATGTCCACACTCAGTAAACGGGTTAGACCTTTAATCATATTGTCTTTCAACCATCCAAAACCCACTAAAGGACTAGATGCACTTTCAATCTCTCTTCTCCGCGCGCGCCCCCGGCGGAGCTCGCCCGCGGCCGTGGCTGGCCGGGGCGGAGCTCGCCCGCGCCCGCGCCCGCGGCGGCTGTCCGGGGCCAAGCTCGCCCGCGCCCGCGCCAGAGGCGACTGTCCGGGGCTGAGCTCGCCCGCGCCCGTGCCCGCGGCGGCTGTCCGGGGCCGAGCTCGCCCGCTTCCGCGCCCGCGGCGGCCGGCCAGGGACAAGCTCGCCCGCGCGCGCCCGTGGAGGCCGAGGCGGACCTCCTCGCGTCACCTCCATGCGCGCTGCGTCAGATCCACGGCGAGGACCGGTTGCGGCAGCTCCACGCGCGTCGCCTCCTGGGGGATTCGCCGCCGCCGTTGGGGACGAGGCCGCCTCCCTGCACGCTGGGGCCCTCGACGTCGCTGTCGGGGCTCGTGCCGCTGCTGCAGCTCCCCGCCATCTCCTTCTTCTTGGCCACGGCGGCGCGGGAGGCGCGCCTGCACCTCGGCCGAGCGCGTGGCTGACAAACGGACCCCACCGTAGGGTAAAATGGTCATTTCACCTGTCTGTTTGACACCGTTAAGTAGAAAAGCGGATGGAATGGCTCGGAGAGCAAAGAAGTTCAGAACGGTGACATATGTGTGCGTCCAATTTTTTTAATGACCTATGTGTAATTTCAAACTTTTTTAATGACACACATATAAAAGCCTCTTTGGTTTTTAGGAAGCAAAGCAGCCCAAAAGTCCAACCATTCCCCAAAACAGTCCCGGAGGCCCAACCAAACGGACCTTAGGATTAGGATAGCGACTTTCAGTGACATTTTGCTCATTAACACAGTAACCTGCGATGAGTTGCTTAGAAACTCAGCAAGTCAGCAGTTAGCACGTCGCTGCCCATTTGACAAACTGCTGCATCCCTACATATTTCCTTTTTTTTTCTTTTTAAAATAGAACATGCGCAGAGCATGCCATCTTTGTTGATGCTGACTCCGACGACGTCATTGCTGCCGTCTCTATCGATCAATCTCTGCAAAATACAGTATCGATTCAGACCACCACGCCAAGCCGTCGAGGGCAAGGCCAGGCGACCAGCTCCTCTTGGCTGCACGTCCGCTTGCCCTCGGCCAATCGCCATGGACGCCGTGTCCTCGTCCCCGGCGCCGCTGCGCTTCGTGATCTTCCCATGGCTCGGATTCGGCCACCTGCTCCAGTACCTCGAGCTCGCCGAGCGGCTGGCGCTTCGGGGCCACCGCGTGTCCTTCGTCTCCACGCCGGGCAACATCGCCCGCCTCCCGGCGCTGCGACCCGCCGCGGCGCCGCGCGTCGATCTCGTGGCGCTCCCGCTCCCGCGCGTCGACGGCCTCCCCGACGGCGCCGAGTCCACTAACAGCGTCCCTCACGACAAGTTTGAGCTCCTGTTCAAGGCCTTCGACGGCCTCGCCGCGCCCTTCGCCGAGTTCTTGGGCGCGTCCTGCGCCGACGAGGGCAGGAGGCCTGACTGGGTCATCGTCGACTGCTTCCACTACTGGGCCGCCGGCGCCGCCGTCGACAACAAGGTTCGCTCACACCAAATGCAAACAGGTCAACGCTGTCAACTTGCTTTTTGTTCAGACCCAGCTGGGCTTGTCACCAGGTGCCATGCGCGATGCTGCTCCCGAGCGCCGCGTCTATGGCCGCGGGCAGGGAACGGCAGTCCTCGCGCGCCAAGCCGGCCGCTGCAGAGGAACCACCGGCGGTGGCTGCACCCCGTTACGAGTTGGAGCAGCAGCAGAAGCAATATTTCGTCAAGGATGGCGCGTCCGGTATGTCCGTCGCCGAGCGCTACTACTTGACGCATGAGAGGTGCACGGTCATGGCCATCCGAAGCAGCCTCGAGTGGGAGCCCGAGTTCCTCCCGCTGGTGACGCCGCTCGTCGGCAAGCCGGTCGTCCCCCTCGGCCTGTTTCCGCCGTCACACGACGAAGGGCGTGGCGCCAACGCGAACGGGGACCACGCCGCCATGCGGTGGCTGGACGCGCAGCCGCCGAGCTCGGTCGTGTACGTGGCGCTGGGGAGCGAGGTGCCGCTGCGCGTGGACCAGGTGCACGAGCTGGCGCTGGGGCTGGAGCTCGCCGGGACGCGCTTCCTCTGGGCTCTGAGGAATCCCGGCGGCGTCCCCGACGCGGACATCCTTCCGGCCGGGTTCCAAGAGCGCACCGGCGGCCGTGGGCTGGTGACCACGGGGTGGGTTCCTCAGCCCAGCGTACTGGCGCACGGCGCCGTGGGCGGGTTCTTGACGCACTGCGGGTGGAACTCGCTCATCGAAGGGCTCTTGTATGGCCGTCCTCTCGTCATGCTACCCATCTTCGGGGACCAAGGACCGAACGCGCGGCTCATGGAGGGGAAGAAGGTGGGGTTGCAGGTGCCCAGGGATGAGCACGACGGGTCGTTCGACCGCCATGGCGTCGCCAGCGCTGTCCGTGCCGTCATGCTAGAGGAGGAAACCAGGGGTGTCTTTGTGGCAAATGCCCTCAAGGTGCAAGAGATAGTAGCTGATAATGAACTTCAGGAGAGGTACGTGGACGAATTTATACAGCAACTAAGATCGTACGGCGTACGCCACTGTTCTGCCCCTGCCTCCAGCTGAGACTTAGCGTGCAGAGTATGTAACTGTCAGCTTATAACGGTTTTTTTGTCATAACTTATAACGGTTTTCAAATTCTGTTACCCGACACATTAGTTGCCTCGAAGATCATGTATTTCGAATAACAAGTTTTGCTTGTTGTGGTGTTTATTTATAAGACTTTTGCTATTTATCTGTTGACAGATTTTTTTTTTACTAAATCTGCTAGATTTCTATATATTTGATTGTGCTTTAGGATTTGTGCTACCACCGTCCAATGGGTCGCATTTATAAAAAAACTGACAACTATACACACCCTGTTAAGGGTTCCTTCATCGAAGAAAAGAGATACTTGCATGACCTGTTCTGTCCTAAGAATATTTTGTTTTCCATCTTCCGAGAGAGAGAGAGAGAGATAGATAAATATATATATAGAGAGAGAGACGACGATGGTGGTAGATATTTTGTTTTTCCACTGACTTGGAAATTTGCTCCAAGGACACATGCCTCGCGAACATCACCGTTGAATACTAGCCGGTAACCCCGCGCGAAGCGCGAGCAAGAAACTACATGATATAAGTAAAATTTTCATGTCGAAGGAAAGCACCAAAGTAACTGTCGAAATGATGCAATATATGCCGCATCATAAGTCTGGAACATGCGGGGATGCCCCTCTCAATTCAAGATGCAGCCTCATCCATATATTGCAGCTGAACAGAGCACCAATAGTAGGTGAGCAGAGCAGCACGGCCGAGAGCCTGAGAGCACTATGTAGTTGCCATAATTTGCAGTCACAATGTTGTCGAAGCCTGAAACGTAGCGTGAAGCCAAAAGCCTTGTCAACAACTTGGAAATAGGTATATGATGAGTCCCTGATGCTGTTAACACGAAACAGAGCCTTATTGGCAGCCGAAAAGTAAAAGAAGTGATGCAGGCCATAAATTGAGCGAGCATGTTTACGTGCCGAAAACTGCTTTACCGTTTTGGGTTCAGTGGCAAGCAATCATATTGCAAAAGTCATATGAGTTAATGCAAACAAATTATTGCAAGACAGAACCACAACAAATGGAGAAAACCCTGCTGCACTTCTGTTTACGTAACGAGAGGCCAAGAACAATGAACAAACAGTTCGTTGGCCTGAAGAAATGGTTCGTCTGAATGTGAAGAAGCCTAACCTAGTATATTTTGGCAATAGGATATAGGTAATCATGAGCTGCCGAAGGATAATGATGTGTATGCAATCTAAACTAATGGTCATGTACACCGAATACAAATTGGTGGCAAAAACTTGCACATGCAAATTTACTGTGATATTTTTGAGCATTTTTACCTGGATTAGAAAATGCATAACTGAGATAAAATAAAAAGCAAAGAAAAAAGACACCTCTGTTGTAACATATTTACTATTCAAATTAGCAGATAAATGGAATTTATTTAGGCTGCGAGTTGAGAACACATGTTACTTGGCAACTGAGGTAGGATTGTTTGGGTCTATCACCTTTCTTTTATCATTTTGGCCTTGAGATTATATATCTGCATCATCCAAGATCCTAGGAAGACAGTCTTCCTTGTTCATATGCTAGAGCCACAGTAGTAGTCTAGTTGTAGTAGAGCCTGCAACCCAAATCGCTGGAAATTTTAATGATGTGCGCTCCTGAAAAAGAGAAATAAATTTGAAGGGTGTAATTTTTCTGAAGAAAGAAAATAGATAGAAACGCTTGAGAAAACAAATTGGTGTACAATGCTGCTGAAAGTGAGTATAATGAAAAGCACAAAGTGGTATGCTAGCAGTATGATAACTGCCTATAAGGTGGGCAATGAAAGGGATAATTAATAGCATAAAAAAAAACAAACACTGCATAAAGCAAATGAATAAAGAACCAATGTGGAATTGGTTGTCTGTAGCAAACCAGATAGTTCTGAAACAGAGATTGCATGAAAGGGATAATTAAAAGCACAAAAAAAGAAACACTGGATAAAGCAAATGAATAAAGAACCAATGTGTAATTGGTTGTCTGTAGCAAACCAGGTAGTTCTGAAACAGAGATTGCATGCTGGATGCAGCTTACTGTTCACGGGGCAAAACGGTGCACAAAAGCAAGTACAAAAGATAACCTGCACTTTTGAGCTTGTGAACCTATTTGACTTTATATGCATAAGGCCAAGATGGAAATCTGATATAACGCCTGAGCCTATAGACTCCATTTTTCAGTTGCAGGAAAACTTTGACTCAAAATTTATAATTTGATAAATCGGTAATGCTGCAGTAGGGGACAAAGATCACTTTATTAAGCACAAATTATGGAGGACAATCGGAATGGCTTCATAAAGCACAATGCTTGTAGAGTAAGGATACGACTACTTTAAGTATAACTTATGTGAAGTAGAGAAAAAAAAATGTGAATAAGCACTGCCTGCTTTGACTTTAAACACATAATACGATTTTATTATCCTGGTAGACAATGAGTTGGATGAAATGGCCCTAACTGCTAAGCTCGACATACTTATATAATCTTTGAATTCCAGTTTGGTTAAATACCCTACCGTCTGTATTCCAGTCTAAACATCAAACATCGGGAACATAGTCATAGTCAGAAGAAGATTCATGGCGCTACTGAGGCATGAGACATTTATCCAACTTTTCCGTGATATGACTTTTCATGGTCGACTACCTGCCTAGCCTGAGAACATTGATCTGATATATCGTACAAAATTTCGGTATAGACAACATTGTGTGTGCGGTTTTGATACTTGAAGGGGCTCTTTTCAATCAGGACCCGGAAACCTGTTGGGAGGCACTAATACCTGCATGTCAGGACAATTAGTTTTTCAATTAATCACCTATCTGAATCAATAGTTTGGCGTTAAGCACAATGTCAGGCGAAAACAACAAAATTTGAGGAACTGAAGTACTGGAATTTAAAAGAGAGCTGCTTACCTGGTGCAGCGGAACTGTAGGTGCATGGATAATTAAAACGAAAATGTACATAATACATAGCAAAATTGGATTGGAAGTTGTGTTACCTATGAAATATCACAGCCTGTGAATGTACTGCCCATAGCACAAATCGACATGAACAAATTGCAACTCAGAACCTGGTGATGGTAGTGCTCAATAGCGGACTGCAATAACGGATGAGAGGAAACATTAGTAATGGAGCCAAGGTAGGCACAACACTCAGGGCGGGTGTGGCTGCTGACCTGGATCAGCGCTGGCATGCCGGGGTTGGGCGCTTCGCTGTTGGGCGCAGGTGAGACGCCGAGTCGAGGCTGGGTCTGCAGCACCACCGAGCGGGGAGGGGTGCGTCTGTACCGGGGCTGCTCCCCGTGCCTGCGCTGCCGCACGGCGGCGGCCCGCGCCCAGGCTGCCACGCCGGGGTGGGCGCGTCGCTGTTCCGTGTCGGGGGCCGGCCGCGCCGATGTGCCGTGACGCCACCGCGGGCACAACGCTGAGCGGCGGTGCTCGATGCTTAGAGGAGAGGAGGCCCTTTTTTTTTTTTTTTTTTTTTTTTTTTTTTGCTGCTGCTGCTGCTGCTGTTGCTGCTGCTGCTGCTGCCGGTGGAAGCGAGAAGGTTCAGGAGAGGGCGAGGGTAGCAACGTGGACAGCAGCCGATGGCGGGGTGCCGATCCGATGGTCCTGGTTGGATAACAGTTCTGGGAACATTGGCCTGGGAACAGTGGCCTGAGTCAGGGAACTGTTGATGTACAGTAGTTTGTGAGGGGCACCCCTGGTACATAGAATAGGATATGATAGGATAGGGGTTAAAATAATATTCTGGTTAATAAGTCACTGGAAACAATCGTTGTCCATCTAGTTGTTGATCTGATAGACGGAATATTATTCACAATTGAATTTTACATTTTTGCAACAATAGTATTTATTCGATTTTGTAAGTTACTTCACACAACATAGATATCACATGCAGTAATTGTATGAGCGGTTGTGCCACTACTATGTGGATCCGCTGGCTATGTAGTCCACATGGCTGTGGCACAACTATGTGGGCTAGTCGCTGTTCCATTGCTGATATAATAGAGGATTTTTGACGATAACAAACTTTATGTTTTAAAGAGAAAAAAGACTTCCACATATGGAATCCCAATAATGGATTGGGATAATTTGCGGACAATAAGAGACAATGTATTATGACATTTGCCAAGTCCATATGCTCACACCCTCTTGCAATTTTGAAAATGTGACCAAAGGAGAAAGCATCTGAATTTGAATTGAAAATAATTTGAACATTGGTGGTTGGATTTGTGGCCACACCTTTCACCAACCCTGAATTTGAATTGAAAAGACTTCGAACATGGGTGGTCTCAGGTTCATGATCACACTACCTTTCACCCAACTAGTTGAGTAAAACCCATTCTCTCTTCTTGCATTTTCACAAAACTCGATAAAAACTTTCTTTACTAAAACAATATTATACCCTTCTTTTCAACTTTCTTTGTTCCTACCACACAGGTGTGTGCCACCTCATGGAAGATCTCTAGAGGTACTCCAAAGTAGCTGTCGGTGTGAAATGTAGCCAACAAGTAAATTTTTGTAGTTTTGCTGTGCGTTGTGATCGGATGTGGCCTAACACTCAATGACATAAGATTTATACTGGTTCAGACAACAGACCCTACGCCCAGTTGAGGTCGGTCGGTGACTTTATTTCTAAGCCCAGGTGCTTGAAGTTTGCTGTGGGGTTACAAACGAGTAAGGAATGAGAAGGGGGTGTTAGAGGCCCGGTCGGACTCTGAACCGAGTAGAAGAGAGTGACGGATGCTCAAACATGCGCTAAGTATTGGAGCGTATGCTCTGTGTATCCGAGCTTATCAGTTGTTGAGAGCGTATAGACTGTGTAGCTGTCGAGCTCTAAAGCTGTTGTGCCATTGTCCTTGAGTCCTCGAGTCTTTGAGTCTTCGATTCTTCTTGTAGGAGAGAGCGTATCCCCTTTTATAGTTGAAGGGGATGGCCTTACAAGTTAGAGAGAAAGAGAGAGTGCATACGAGCGCCGCCTAGTCTTGTTGCCCAC